AGGAAACCAAATGTCATAACAGATGGGTTTGGTTGATTTGCTGTCTAATCTTCTATGTTAAAGATCACTTCCCTGTCAGAAGATAACATCAAGTTGTGCAGTTGAATTGTACATTCCTTCACGCTGGAGAGAATTTCCGTTTTTCTCTTCACCTGGTTGATGTTTTTACATCAGTGTTTAATGCTTAAATTCATTTCCTGTCCTTCCTTCCCAAGGCACTTTGCCTGCAAAGATTGTCCCATTTCAATGGGATTGTGAGTTCCACACTCATTCCAAAGTCAAAAGGACATTACACTGCAAGTATCACAAGAGGGCTTCTGCAGGTTGACAAGTGCACCCTTTCTGGTGAATTCATCAAACAGGTTTGCAGCTAGTAACTACATTTATATTCATTATAATTCACTTTATAAGTAATTGGATAACAAAAAGACAAACTCGTATACCTAATAGAAATACATAGCTGCATATTTCAGCTTTCCATCATCACTATAATATGTGAAAACAAATTGGAATTACATTCTAAGATAGCCCCTAAGCTGATTAGACTAGACATTGCTGTGTCACATTCAAATATATATTAGTTGTGGGGTTTTTTTTAATATATGCATTATTTTGTATGTATTTTAATATATGTATTATATGTATTTTAGTATTTTTTTAATATAGTCAACACTTTTATTAAAAATGAGAGAGGTGGACAATTTGGAAAAAAATATGTACCCACCATGATCAATTTCAGCATACATATGGCACCCGGGCTGCATAATATTGCCTAAGTAAATCAATGCATTACAACTATATAAATCTAGCAAAAAAGTCTTTTTAAATAATAGTAACAATGCATAAAAATGCAACGTAATACAAGCTATTAGAAAGACCTTATTTATACACAAGACATTACTATTCTAACTGTAATGAACTGTATAGTACATCTACTCTGTACTCAGTCATACTAGGGAAAAAGTAATTAGGTTGGTGTTTATGCATGTTTGTGTGTTTTGTGTTTTTTTTTTTAAAAATCACATGCCTGAAACAAAATAACTAATGCATCAATTTAAGCAAGGCCATAGTTATTTTGCAGAGCATTCCTTCTTACATATCTACAGATACACAGCTCATGGCTAAACCTTACACTATGTGTCTGTACAGTGACCTCTATCTGTAGATCAGATTTTACAACAATTTCTCCATGTCAAACCGTTCTGTTTAAAGGAACCAGACAAACCCAACTTTCACATTGTCATGAAGCGCACAGCCAAACCTCTACTGGAAAGGCTAAAAGAGAAATTATTTCAAAATCTGTAATGTGTGATGGATTAGCTGCTGCTACTACTTTGTGGTAGCTCTCAACAAGAATTCTAGTGATGAAGAGGATCACTAAAATATTTTTATTTGAATTAATAAAGCAATTCTGTCAGTCCAAAATGTCCACAGAACCCTCCCCAAACTCTTCTTTCTATACCAGCTGCATTTCCTACAAACATCTTGTTTTCAAACATGAAAAATGAGACCCCAAAATATTTTTGAAATTTAATTCTGAAATTTCCCTGAGAAACTTCTGTTCTGGCCCTTGAGTCTCACAGAAAGCTCAAAAATTATCAAAAAATCTTCAAGAAATCCTTCATTCAGCTGGTGATTTCCATGAAGAGGCACTATGGGAGCCATCTCTCCGTTCAAGTGAATGAAAGGTGGGCTGGATGCACACATGGACAGGCAAAAGCTTGAGGAGAGATGCTCTGCAGACCAGAAGGCAGTTGCCAGACTTTCAGAAGTGCCCAGGTTGTCCAAGCCTACAAGTTAAGTAGTCATCTCCATTCAGTACTGGTCTTGCTCTTGAGGCTAATTACTTATCACCCACATAGCGAATTATCTGAAGTTTAATAACTCTGAGCACAAACATTAGATGTGCAGAGCACTGCTAGAAGAGTCCTGAGACCACACTCACCAGTTCTTTTACATGGTGGAATCAAGATGAAGATAAAAATCAGTAAGGCTGGATTCACACCCTTATCCTAGACATTCCTCTAAAATGTAAATTAAGACCTGCAACTCCAAGGGCTTGTTCCAATGAGAAAGTCACTATGAATTGTTAGAAAATAAATTTAAGTTCAATAAGCAATCCTTATTATGCAGGGAGGTACTTTAATTTCGTATTAGAAGTACCTTTTCTTTTTTTTGTTACAGTTCAGCTTTTATAGTTCTGAACTGAGATCAAAAGTACCGTTAAAGGAAGATCACACAAAATATCATCTTATAAAAGACTATTATTTATGATTTATTAATTAAATATCACTTCTTATTCCTGTATGAAACTTCATTATGAATAGAAGAATTTGATAATTGTCTAGCAGCATTTTGCTAGCGTTGAACTTTCTTGTAATTTTTTATTTATTTTTTTTTTTAATATATTCTGGATGACTCAAATTAACCATGTAATTCAGACAGCTACTTGAGAATTTCCTGTTAGTAGTATTTCCACCATCATGTGTTCACTCTGAAGTCCCCAACCAAAGTGCAATAATGCAAAGGTTTCCTTTTTCTTCCACAAAACTCTCCCTAATTTGATACTTCAAAATACATAACATTATTAATAAGGTTCAGCTCATGCATTCATGGATGTTAAGAGATGAAACATTATCCAGAGCTTTGCGTGTAAAGCCACAGATAGTCTTCTCAGTTCTGGTTCTCACAGTATACCAGCATGAGGGAATCAGCAGGGGCCTTGAGTCATTCTACCGCTGAAGTAACCAGTTAGAGTACTATTTCTGTCTTTAATCCCCCTGACCCAGAAGAAAACCCTGCACAAATTTTAGGTCAATGGTGAAACTCCTACTGACTTAAAAGAAGGTAAGGATTTTGCTGGAGTATTCATGTGCTTTCATGGTAATACTACCTACGTATATTTGGAAAAAGATGTAGTTGGAAAAGAAGAAGAGTCCTAAATTACTTCATCAGGAGAATTCCTACTTTTGCTTATGCTGTTGAAATGCCTTTCCCAGTGTGTCAGTCCATAAAAGGAAAATGTACCCAGATTTGTTTTAAAAAGTAGATTTCAAAAGATGAGGTGCCTAACCCTGTAAAGAAAGAGTACTAAACACAGCAAAGTCTTCATTAAATGTACAATTCTGCAAATGTCAGCATGAAACTTGAGTGACATTACAGGGAGACGCTCAGTTACACTGCCTCCAGGCATCCCTACCCATGCAATACAATATACAGTTCTGGGTGGTAGGATAGTCGCTGTTCTTTTCTTTCCACGTGTTTCCTTCAATGTGCTATCTCACACTAGATGGAACATAAAAAAAACAAACAAAAAACCAAACACAACACTGATTTCTAGTGTTATGTTTTGGATTCTTTTTCAGTAAAAATATATGAGAAAGTGAAGAAATAAATCAAATCTGATCTCAAGAATCAAAGTACCAAAGAACTCATTGTCACCTAAAACCTGTGCACCTACAGTTCATTTGTCCTTGAGCACAGAGAGATCTTTCCAGTATCTACAAACAGGCTTTAAATCCAAACAATTTTCAATTTAAATACACTAAAAATAAATAAATCTGGATCCAAATTTTCGCCATTAAGACTTCTCTTCAGGTTCAGAGCTTTTTAATCTCACCTTCAAAACTATCATAGAAATGATGAAAAGGATCTGAGAAGCATCCTTTTTGAGGAAATGTGGATTAAGCCATTGCATACACAATGAATGCTGGACCTCATCTATGCCCCCATGTGAAGCGAGATGGAAGGTAACACTTTATCAACTACTAAACGTCAGTCTCTTTTCACTGCCTCCTCTCTATAAACATCTTTAAATATTAAGCTTAAACTGAGTGGCACTTTTATTTGTTTACATACTATGATTCAACAAATAACTCTAATCAGAACGTCACATTCAAATGGGCGGTTGAAATCTCTGTTTCTGAAGGATCAGTAATCTAATATCGGTGATACTTTGCCTTCCCAACAGTTGTAGACACACTGCAACGGTTCATTTTACACCTAGATTTTCAATTTTGCTCTTTCATTACTTGCTCTTTCCCATCAAACCCAGACCATTATTGAATTATCTCAGGGCTTTTATAGCTCCAGCCATCCTTGCCTATTACCTATGAGTACTGAGAGCAAAGGCTAAACCCATGGTAATATTATTTGGGTTGGTTAGAAATCAGGTAGGCAGCAACCGAGCACTGTTCTTGCCATAATAATTCCATACAGCTCTGCAGCTCTGTAATGACTGACATACATAGCTTCCTCATTTCTGGGCCTCAGCACCTCTCTGCCCTCATCCCCAGAAGTACAGCTGTCCTTTTTCCCTTTTTCCTTTTTTTAAAAAAAAAAAAAACAAAACAGTATTAGCTCCCCACTCCTGTTTTCCCTGTAGTCCATGTCCTCGTTCATGCCAAAGTAACAGTCATTTTCTTTTCTTATATTTTCTGTCACTGCTTCCATTTCTTCATTTCATCCTACACTTCTTTATTGCTGTTATAGTTGTCCTTTCATCCTCTCTTCTAACTAAAAATTGTCTCAAGCCAAAACCACAGACACATATGTGAGCAACTTCAAACCAATCCTGGGGTCCCTGAAGTCTTAATCCAGATCCAATTTTTGCAGCTTGAGCCATCTCTAATCCCTAATTGCTCCTGTCATCTCTTTCTCACAGCCCTGGCTGTAAGCCACAATGTTTTATGCTGCCTTCTGTGCTTGGAAATAAAGTTACAATGCCCTCCTGTCTCTTCAGTCTTAAAAACATATTTATTTTCTGAATGCTTCCTTCCACTGACTTTTTTGCTGAAAAATTTTGTATATGAGCTGTTGTCAGCATTTTGGCTATAGAGCATACTAGCACTCATGACATGTAGCAAAAGCCGCAAGCAGCATGCTGCCTTGTGGTCACTCCCCGAAGAGAGGACACCTACGTTTTTGTATATGGTCCAAACACTTGGATTTGCAAAGCATTTTTTCTAATTAGTATTTCTTGTAAAATATATAAACAGTCTTCAGCATAGGAATTAAAAACCTGTGTGAGAATCCAAACCACAAAGCTATAAAGATGTATAACTCATGATGTTCTCTTTTTAGTGTACTGAGATTGCTCACAGCCACAGCTTCAGAACAAGAAGCAGCCACTGAAACCCAGAACAGCCTAGTGTTTTGGGCTCCCTGCTGGGAGGTGGGAAAACAGTTTTTCTATGTGCCTCAAGAAAGACACAAAACTGAAAACAGGGCTCTGACATTTTGCGTCGATATTCCAGTCACCGAGCTGGTGATATAACAGTAATATCAACAATAGATTCCCTCTCTGGGTTATAAAGTCAAAAATATCTGCTGGATGAAGCCCTTTCAAGATCACTGCTTTTGTATTCTTCCTCATATAAATCACTTCATTAATTTCCAAAGATCTACAGTTTTCTGCAGTGAAAATACAGTTTTGTGTGTAAAATTCCCACTGATCTTAATACACTTTCTAATTGAAGGTAAAAGAAATAATTTCTAGTTAATTCAGTCAACTTTTGCTTAGAAATGTGACCAAAAACTTTCATTGCAACACTAAAATCATTATATTGTGGGGTCTTTTTGATGATTACCATTTCTTCAGGACTCTAATTGTGACTTGGGTAGACAGAGGTGACATTACCGTAGTTTGCAGGAGATCTCCCATCCAGCTATTTTATAAAGCTTAGACCAGACTGTAGATACTGAAAGTTGCCTGGACTGAAAGCTTACGTGACCAGCAAAGCCAGATGTGAATCCTCAGAACACTGACACATCAGCTCAGGAAATGCCAAAGGATAAAGGTTTATAAAAGTTGCATTTGTGAAACAGTCAGCTGTAACTTAGGAATATTTTTATTTTTTGTAGTAAAAACACTACTACCAGGGGAAAAGAACAGATCTAGTATGCTACATATGATTCACATATTATCTAATAATTAAAGAAATGTAGGAAGCACAGTTTATTTTAAAATAAACCACCAAAAATCCCCGAAAACACAAACCAAAAATCCAAAACAACAACCACCCCCAACTAAATGAATCAACTAGAAAAATGGAACGATGATTCAGTTATAGAGCTAAGCGAGACTGTGTTCCCAATGGGGAAAGACTGAACTTTCCCCATTATCAAAGATCATCGAAAACTGTAGATACAATCATATGATTTAGTACTGTAGTTCACAGGCAAGACTTTCAACATGGGTGTGACTTAATGGGCGTCTGGCACAAAACAAGCAGTAGTCCTGTTAAGTTTCTTCCATCTCTGGAGAGCTGATTACAGGCATTGCCTGAAGTGACAAATTAACCTCATTTTTTACAGTGGAATAATTTTGCTGATTTTAACTACCTTAATCTGGATTTACAATGATATACGATAGTGCAGAATAAGTTCAATTAGTCCACATCAGGAAGTACATTAAGAGTATTCTTACTCAAACTTTTTACTTGAAACAATTGACTGATTGATAAGAAGTGAATGACACTCCAAGACTTTACACTGGCTTAAGGCAAGAACAAGCAAGGAGAGCAAATGCTGAACTATTGGTGCTGGAAGCAGAAAACACAGCATAATTTTGTTTGGTACAAATTCCAAGTGAAAATGAGGAATACCATGCTTCCCCCTTTAGGTAGCAACTACTCACATAAAAGGTTCATGCCAGAGCCATTCCCTCTTCTCTCCCCCTCTCAGCGTTTGTATATATGCCAACTTTATAGGAAAAATACAGGATTACATTGTGGAAATGAACTTTTTGTAAGATCCACAACTGTCTCTATTTTATGTAAATTTGACATACCCCAATAATGGTTTATCTTGGTTTATATAGTGACAACAAACACAGAGAACCCTAAAAATTAAAGTCATTAAAAATCACTTCTTTTATGCTTTTTATTATTTTTCTTTTTTTTTCCCCTTTTTTAAATTCTCATGTAAATCCAATTCCAGGTAAACTTTATTGTTCTTTTCAGTAGAGTCTGTTCTCTTTTTCTATCCTCTTCCCAAGAGAGCCAAATGAATTTTACAATGACATAAGCCTACTGAAGTGACACTCAGAGCTAGATGAAAAGCAGAGCGTCTGGTTTCGAGGATTTTTATTTTTTTTAACACTTAATTTTGGTCAAAATTCAAGCACAACATCAAAGGAAATTGTAGTTTACAAAACTGCAGAACTAAGAGAAACTGACTTTCTCATGAGCTAACATGACACTGAATTTCACTGAGCAGCTTTAGAAGCTTCTCTTTGCCTCTACTTCATGGAAAATCAAAAAACACTGTTTTCCCTTTTCTGCCTGTGTTCCTGGGGGCTCTGCCACAAGCTTGGGCCACATGAAGCTGACAGGCTTCTACAATATGGATTCAGTCAAAGTCATGCCTTGTTTTCAGAAATTGCCTTTATTCCTAAGATGTTATAAACAAAGTATTTTGAGAATAAAGAATATTTTTTTTTAAAAGCCTAGGTATTACAAGACTGTTTTTAATATCATGCTTGTACATTGATTATTTCACAGGGTGTCAGTTCACTAAAGGCAAAAAATTGGACCCCAAATCTGGCAATGAGAAGTATGGGAAATAAGAGAGGAAACTGTCACTGGGAGATCCACAAGCTGCACATGAGTCAAGGAATATCAGAGATGTAAGTCTTTCTTTCCTGATTAAAATATGTACCAACAAAACTGAATTCTACCATCTGCTTCATCACCAGCTTTACCATGAAAGTCTGGAAAAAATACTTTTCAAGGGAGGTCCAATAGTTGTACCTTCCTCATTGTCCCTGTACTACTCATTTCAGACGTCTAATTATCACTACAACAGAGCTGTCAGAGCTACCACCAAAGTTAGGAGGATCTGGGCCTTGAAGATAGAATATGCCACAGAATGCTGTAAAAATTCTGAACTAAAGCAACTCAAAGCGGGCATCCAATATTTGTACAGCTTAATGTTACTTTGATTCTATTCCCTGTCTGTAAAGTGAGAATAATAAAAATCACCATCTTGTAGTTGGCGTATGAAAAGAAATGAATTGCCTGTGGAGCGCTTTGATACTGGAGTGCTGAACATCACAGAGAAACCCATGAGGAAATTAATAATTCTGTCTTCAGCACAAGGCTGAACAGTGTGCAGGAACCGAGACCTAGAACCGCGAGAGGAAAACAAAGCAATGAGCAGTTGTGGACAGAAGAGCACTGAGTAGGGAAGGTGTGCATGCATCTACTCACAAATTGTAATGCAGGTGCCCAGCACGGCCAAACTAATACTGTACATGAGATCTTCATGATGATGTTGCCTCACTTTTTTAGGTCTTGATTTTCCTACATTATAACGCAATTTCCTGTATGTAAGATATACACATATTCCAGTGCTAAGTAGCACACAACTCTCTTATTTCCTGTCCACATTAAATATAATGTTTTTATAGGAGATGCTCTTTGAAAGCTATGTTTCAAAACTCAGTGAAGTGCAATGAATGAACTAGCTGTGGTCCTATATTGCTTGAACTATCTGTGTCCAGATTTTGGAAAGGAAAAGGAAGTAATAAATTTTGCTTGAACTCACCACACGTTTTAATTGCACAGAACTCCCAGGGGGTGTTAGGGTCAAGAGTGTAGCACCACGGTCTCAGCTTGCCATCAGGATTGCGGCAGTAATTATCATCAAAGCCCTTGTCAGGATATCTGCAAACCACAACGAGAAACGTGTCAGGGAAGTCTTCCTGGCAACACTGCACAGGCTTCTACAGGACAGTCTTCAGCAGAGGCAAATAAGAACCAGTTCCTATTAACCTTGGGTCTGATCCTGTGAGATGGATGCAAATAATCTTTTAACGCTATTAGAAAGTTAATAACATAAAATCTCCTTCCAAATATGCAGCAGAATCAGACCTCCACTGAGGGGATTCCCTGCTGTGCTAATGCACAGGATACCGGATGGGGTAACTCTGCTAATTGCTAAACTCTTGCTCTTGTGTCTGTCAACTGATGACCAGACTCTGAAGCCACTAGTTTTTTTGAAACAGCCCAATTAAGTGTGGATTATATAAACACTGCCTGGCATGCCGGACTCATTAAGAAAGCAGGTTCTTCAGTGCAACAGCCCTGGGTTCAAACTGGAAGCTATTTTGAACAGCTATGTTACTAATGATAGCTCCATTTTTGTAATAGAGCTAGTTCTAGGTCATGCCCTCATTTCAAGCACTGGGGGTAAAAAAGGAGAAAAATAAGGAATTAACTTCCGTTTCACTTTATCTCATTAAGATTTGAAACTATTGTGCCATTTAATTATTTCCACGTTCCTATGGCCATCACTGAACAGTCAGGCAGATATTCAAGATAAGGAGGTTCTTTCTGTATAAATGTGCTATACGAACATCTATAAACTTAAAAAGAAGGAGATAAATGCATACTTTTTTTTTTTTTCTTTTCTCCAGTGAATACAAATTGTCCTGGTTTCCCAGTTTTATTGAAACATGTTTGTAAAAGAAACACAAAGTAGATTTTCCCCTGAGGGAAACATGAAAAGTATGTAACAGAACAATAAAGTTAACTACCTGGGAACCTGAGCCCATTTACAACTGCAAGCAGATGTGTTTTTCACAAGCAGAGGAAAATATGATTTACAAGCATGTGTTATTTTGTCAAACAATCATCCTGATTTTGACTCATGCATTTGCAACTTGATCTCCCATTCCTTGGGAAAAATCAGGTTCCTTCATCTATACAAGGGACAGGGAGAGGATCTAAGTAGAATTTTAGAAACAACCAATGAAACAAACAAAAAACAAAAATAAAAACAAAAAAAAATCCACCCACAAAAAAAACCCACACCACCAAATATGCCAACAAGGAGAAACCTCACAAAAGTGAGAATTCAAGGGCAGTCAAGAATGTGGTAGTTTCAGATCTAGCAGTAGTACCCTGTTTTCTGCTACGTAGAAGACAAACTGTAAAGGAACAAATTGTGTCCAAGGATTTCACAAGAAAACAGTTAATGGGCTAATAATATAGCAGGAAACAAGATGGCTTTGGCCACCCAGTAGGTGCAGTGATGAGCTTTGATGTTGGTATCACATGTTCCATGTCATGTAGCAATGGAGAGTCCATGGCACCAGGAAGAGTCCAGGTACCTGCAGTCATAGCTCCCAAAAACCTTTTGAAACATCTGAGAATGTAAAGAATCCACTTTCTAGAAGGCAAGTGTCTTCCATAGCACTGAATGTTCTGTCCTTCCTGATATTATATGATATGATACCACAGTACGTCAAAAAAATCAAGTAAAGGTGTAACAGTTCTTCCAGGATCAAGCTTTGAGTGTCTTTGTGGGATGGAGTAGTGTCTGTGAACTGTATCTTTCCACCTACTATATCTATGTGTCCTTTTCTAGAGTGACAACAGTCTTCCTAGTCACTGGTTCTTCCCACCATATTTAGGCATGTTTCTGCCTTCCTTCATATCCAGCCAGCAACAGTTCCTCAGTTCCTATAGAAAAGGCTAACTAATGCCTTTAAGACACAAATATTAGGGATAAGACAAACAATATGGCTTCAAACTGTTCCACAATCCAACAGCGAGACTGTGGCGGATTTTCTGAGAGTTCATCTGACCTGTTGGATCAGATCCAGTGGAGGGCCACAAAGATGATCAGAGGGCTGGAGCCTCTCCTATGAGGACAGGCTGAGAGAGTTGAGGTTGTTAAGCCTGGGGAAGAGAAGGCTCCAGGAAGACTTTATTGCGGCCTTCCAGTACCTAAAGGGGGCCTACAGGAAAGCTGGTGAGGGACTTCTTTTTATGAGGGCATGTACTGACAGGACAGGGGGAATGGCTTTAAACTGGAAGAGAGCAGATTTAGATTAGATAGTAGGAAGAAATTTTTCACTCTGAGGGTGGTGAGGCACTGGAACAGGTTGCCAAGAGAAGCTGTGGAAGCTCCATCCCTGGATGTGTTCAAGGTCAGGCTGGATGGGGCTTTGAGCAACCTGTTCTAGTGGGAGGTGTCCCTGCCCATGGCAGGGGGGTTGGAACTAGATGATCTTCAAGGTCCTTTCCAACCTAAACCATTCTATGATTCTATGATTCTTTTGTCCTGCACACTTCTCCTTCACCCAGTACACTTGGGCACAGACCTCTTGCTTGGACCCAACAATTAGCCTGAGGTTTCCAAGATCTTTCAGAAGCCTGCATATTTGATTTCACCCCAGGAACTGCAGTAGCTATACTTCATTTCTGAAACTGAAATGAAGCATTAGGATACACATCTGGTGTCAACATCAAGACTTTTTCTCAATTTCTGAGGGGGAGAAAGAGACGAAGAGATAACATTTATTCTCTTTAAAAAGACAGATGTTGATCATAGAAACATAAAATCATCTAGGTTGGAAGAGAACTTTAAGATCATCAAGTCCAACCATCATCCTAACACTGTGAAGTTACCACTAAACCATGTCACTAAGCACCACATCTACCCATCTTTTAAATACTTCCAGGGGTGGCGACTCCACCACTTCCCTGGGCAGCCTGTTCTAAAGCTTGACAACCCTTTTGGTGAAGAAATTTTTCCTAATATCCAATCTAAACCTCCCCTGGTGCAACTTGAGGCCATTTCATCTCATTCTATGACTTGTTACTTGGGAGAAGAGCTCAACCCCCGCCTCGCTACAACCTCCTTTCAGGTAGTTGTAGAGGGTGATAAGGTTTCCCCTCAGCCCCCTTTTCTCCAGGCTAAACAGCCTCAATTCCTCAGCCACTCCTCATAAGACTTGTTCTCCAGACCCTTCACCAGCTTTGTTGCTCTTCTCTGGACTAGCTCCAGAACCTCAATGTCTTTCTTGTAGTGAGGGGCTCAAAACTGAACAGAGTACTTGAGGTGAAATCTTGAGGTAATCGAGGTGACCTCTAGCTCTGCTGGAAGTAAACTGAAACTTAGTGTCTAAAACTTTTCCCTAATATTTCTTTTCCCCTTCTTTTTGTTTTAAAAGACATGCAGGACTGGAAACTTGATTTTGTATAAAGTAAATTTTCATACAAGAGATATAAACCGGAGTATTTTAATAAAAGGATACCTGTAATTTTTCAACTCATACTACACTTCAGCCTTACTTTCCTCCATGCAGTAAGTACCTATTTTCAGAGCATCTTTGATTTTGAGCAGAAAATATGAGCAGAATAGGAGAGAACTGTTGCTTCAGTATGCCTGCCTGAGCCTCTCTAAATCATTATCCTCAATGGCCTTCCTTCCACACCGAGGTATAATCCTACCCAGGAGTACACAAGAGAACTGGATCTTCAGAATACAATTCTGCATCCTTTAATAGCTAAAAACAGGTCATGCAAGAGTTGTTTGAGGGTATTCCTACCTCTAGCTTCAATCACATCTAGGTAACAAGGTATTATCAATTCTCTTCAGTAAGTGACCTCTGAAGGGAATAAATGTGGAATAAGTCATTGAAGTGACAAAAAGGAAAAGTGAGATGTATTCACACTGAGCTGAAAACATTGTCCAGCAGCAGGTAGACTGGAGCATTTGAAAAGATTACTAGTTTTATCTCTCTTTCTTCATCACTGCAACTGATGAAATTATAAAGGAAAACAAGTTTAAATCTGTCCTTTCTGGTTTCCAGGTTACTACCCCTAGATGGTATAGTATAAGCTTCTCTAGAGATTTCTGTATTGTAATGGGTCATTGGTTCCAGACCTCCTCTCTTATTTTCAACTTAAATAATTATTAAAAAAAAACCCACCACCTATACAAACAAAGCCCACAATGTTTTTAAAAGCTAGTCTAATCAAAGTGTGATTGTCACTACCTTTAGTGACCATTCCATGAAGTTAATTAACATCAGCGTATTAGAAATGTACTGGACCCCAGCTACTCTTCTGAAAGCACATACAGATCAGCACAATCTGGATGGGATGCTTTATAATAAAAAAATTTTTAGAACAGAAGATGTTTTCTGAAGGGAATGTTTCAGTGATCATTCTTGAGACTGCAGTTAGTCTGAAAAGTTATTTTGCAAACAATCCAAAATTAACGGAAAACAGAAATTTCCTCCTGACAGAAAAATTATTATTGTTTTTACCCAGAAGTTCAATAAATGTTTCACCCCCACAGAACAAAATTCTTTCTGTGACTTATTTTAGAATGCGCAGCAAGTGCATGGCAAAACTCAGAAACAGATTCTCTTCAGTCCCAGTTTGCTAATACAAAATATTTATTGCAGCAAAACTATGGGAGAGCCTGCTTTTATTTATGAACCAGATCGTCTGAGCCAAGAGGAAAAAGAGGCTATATCACATAAACTCCAAAACAGCAGATCCTTAATGTTTTGCTGAATAACCAGGCTTTCTAAAACCTACCAGTACCAGTATTTCTGGGTATGAAAATGATGCTCATTTAGTGGAACACTTCAACATATGTAAAGATACTTTCAGCCCAAGGCCTCAGTCATTCTGAGGGTGTTGATTCTTGCAGTCTTCCTCTGGCAGTTTAAATTATTCAATCCACTACATGAATGGAATTAATCCAAAATCCAGAGTAAAACTAAAATGAAACTTTAGTCCAGTTTAAGAAAAACACAAAGGGCTTCCTGTGTGGCCTTATCCCCCACACAAAAATCCTTCCAAAAGGGTGTATTATAGATGACCCTTTGCAGCCGGGTGAATTTTACCCTCTAGGACAAACCCTAAAGGGGATGCAATTTGTCTTGATATTTCTGACTCATCTTTTGGCATTATGTGTCTATGCCTAATAAAAAAAAAATTAAAAAAATAAAAAAAAAAGGAAAAAAGTTTAAAATACAAATCCATGTGCATAAAATGCCAAACAGAATGATGAACTCCTTTCCCAGGCTGAAAAAAATCATGTAGTGGGCAAACATTTTTGTCAAACAAATTGGATACTTAGACCTGATTACAACAGAAGACCATGTACAGCTTTAAAGCTGCTCAACACTTCAAAAAAGGAGCATGCTCTGACTTGACAATGTTGCTATTTTATACTCACTAATTGTGTTAAGAACTCTAACAAAAATTTATGACTTTTAATCATTATTTACTTTGTGATTACTTAAGGTATTTCAAGCTAACTGAAGCTACATAAGAACACATACAGAAACATTCAGAGGTTAATTTTTTAATGTCAATGAAGCTAGGGAGGAAATTTTCATCAATTAATGCAGCACATATACATCACTGCACTAAACAGCCATGGGATGTAGCCACAACTGCACAAAACAACCTGTAGTCCCCATCCTGCATCTCCATCATGACTGTAGCCAGCCTTCACGCACCACGGGCCAGAAGCCCAAGAAACTAAGACTGGTGAACTCTGTAAAATTCAGTTCAGCTAATGCTGATTTTGACCAACTGGTTCCAGAACACATGTGATTTTAAATTATAACCACATGGATTTACTTGAGGGGAGGAGGGATTACCTCTCTGGACGAAATTTGTGCTTGTGTGGTCTCTGAAGATCCCAGCGCTGACACTCCTTGCCCGACTCAGTGTGATCCATTGGCCCTCTGTAACTCTCTCCATTGCAGGTCATGCATTCAACTAGGGAAAAAAAGGGAAAAAAAAAAGTTACTAGTCATTTATTATGCTGATAACTTGTAGCACAAAGAAAAAAAAAAATCATATCCCTGCAGTTACAAATTGAAACCAACCTAAAGAGGTATAAAAAAGTGATATCTTTTAGTTAGGTTGGTAAGCGAAATGTCCTTTGGACCAGAACAGAATTGCATCTCTTTCTTTGATCTAATACAGATGCTTAAATTTGGTATTACTTTATAGGACACTTACAGTTTCAAGGCAGGTAGGTGTGAACTGCTAGAGGCATTCATGTTTCTAGCAGATTTCTAACCTTACCTATGGTCAGTAGCAGAAGGAGATACACATCTAAGGAAGGAACATTTTTAGAGGTGATGCTTTCTAATTAAGTAACACGGATTATCCTAAATCACTCTAAGTCATAGTATAATAACAGTACAAGTTTAAATCCATAATAATGGCTGAATCCCAATTTCGTGCAGTACAGTCTGTCTCTTTAAATTCCCAGCACTTTCAGCCTACATGTGATACTGTTTCTTTTCGATACTAATTCTTTTTGGCAGCTTCAACTATGATACATTTTCAGCCCTGGTTTGAGAAAGTGGGGGGGCGGAGGGAGAGTGGGCAAAAAGCTACCAAAGGGATTTGAAATCACTGTTGAACAAAATATGCTTCATAATTTAGAATGAGAAGTCTAAAAATGTAAAATAAAATCAGCATAATTAACTATAGACCCATTTCTCAAGTGCCTTCTAATTAGAGTAATTGTAAGGAAGGATCACTTAGTAAATACTAATTTATGCAATTACAGATCTCACTCTTCAGTCAAAACATCCGCTACCGAAGTCTTCATCCTGCAGCAAGCTCCAGGTCTTATCCCATTTGAAGCTCACTCTACACTGATCTTTAAATGTTATCTTTTAATAGATTTTCAATTTCCTTATAAATCATTCTCTTCCTCTCTCTCTCCCTCCCTCCCTCTCCCTTTTCTTCCCCCACCATTCCATAGCTGATGCATGTGACACATTAGCAGGAAAATTAAAGGCAGCCTATCTTGAGAATTTAAATGGCTTGATTGACTGGAACTGAATTGGCTGATTAGCAAGATGTGAGAGCTTAGTTTGGAGGTTAACATAACTTAAAAGTCAACAAATGCAATAGTGCACATGAAGTATCTTCTGTGACTTGAAAGTTGAATAGGACTGGATTTATAAAAAGTTATACTTATTTACAGTATTTATTTGAAAAACAAAATGCATGCTTAGATTGTGCTTTCATCCTGTAATTCAGTATCTGTATTTTCATCAAAAAGATGAAAAGTAATATCAGAAGATACTGACATGGAATGGCACTAGATGATTTTATCACACAGTAATACTGAAATTGTTAATGGGTTCACTATGGACTAGACAAGTGAAAAAAGGGGCACCTTTGTGCAATTGGCACAACTTCATTGTTCCAGCTCCTCCATGACCTGAAAAAATAAGCTGCTGAGCCTGAAAGCTTGTTTAAGTCTTCCAGAGTACTGGAACACAAGATCTCCTCTTTCTCTAATAACTGCTTTTCTTGCTACATGAATTACTCTTGCTGAGAAGTCACCTATTCTTTCTCTGAAGTCCATGAGCAAGTGTCACTGAAACTCGTGTTTCATTCTGTGTTCCCACTGTCAGCAGAGAAAAGACACCTTTCCCGCGAGCCATGCCGGGTTACCTTGTGAGCAGAGGGGGATGTCGCAGACCTCGTGGCGCGTCTCCGGACTGGTGGTGAAACACCATGGCCCTCCCTCTTCCCCTCGGGGGTTACGGCAGTAGTTTTCCCGCAGGTCTTTACCCCGATAGCTCGAAGGCAAAAAGCTAGTTTTAAAATGACAATCATTACAGTATAAGAGCATGCAAACTTTGGTGTTAATCATACTATTTTTTTATAAACAGTTAGAAACAATCACATTTCTGCTTCCTTCTCCCTCCACCCTGCCTACACAAATGCACACACCCAAATATCTGTCCATACACAAATACACATCTTCAGTCAGGATTACTCAATCGATGGCCAAAATCTGGGACAATTTGTCTAGCCCATAGCTTGCTCTAGCAAGTTTTACTCCCGTCCCTGGGGTGTCCGGAGCCAACTATCCACTGCAGAGCCAGAGGCAGCAGCACACTCCCTGCCAGCCCTCATGGTGCTCTTCTTCATGAGCTTGGAACTACTCACACAATGGTGGAAGGACTCTGGACAAGGGAGGAAAATTGTATTGGGTGCATAGGGGAAAAATCCTTTGCGTCCATTGCCATGCCAGACCTGCCATTCCCGTGCACGTACACATACAGGGGGCCCAGATGGGCTTAGCGTGCACCTACTACATAAAGGCCATGAGCAGAGACACCTCTTCTCATCCCTGGTCAGGCAGCAGCCAGAACTGGGCATCAGGAGTGTGTGAGCATGACCGAGCGGTGTGACACACTGCGCTGAGAGGCTTTCACTGCCCGAAACCATGGACTGCTTTGCATTTCAGCATGAGAAATTTCCCCAGATCCCTGTCTTGCTGTCTTGCTTCGTGTTCTTGCTTCGTGTTCTGCCACAAGCCCCACTGTTGTCACCTTAGGGTCTGCTACTTATAGACCCACTCGTCACCGCTACCATACAAATTAGGACATTTAACAGTGACCTAGCTGACTTAAACTGTGATCTCCCTTTCATTATATTTTCTGCTTTTGCTGTGCTGTTAAATAACAAAACCCCTTCAGATTTTTGCCTTAGATTAGGGGTTCTCAGGCCAATGCTAAGGACTTTGCTTTTCTTTATTGTTTAGCAGAAATGCAAGTGAATACTGTATTTCTTTGTCTAACACAGATTTTTAGAATGAGACCTTGCTGCTTATGCTTAGACCATCAAAAATAAACTCTCCAGGATCAAGGTTTTGTGTTCTTAGCTGTTTGTAAAATTATGTGTTTTCGTCTAGAGAAACCCCCATGTACAACATTGACATATAGAAATATATGTAGGTGCATGTGTGCATATGTGTATTTATACATAAAAGCAATACAAGTTATTTTTCCCCACAACCTAGGGAATCAGTAGCCCTGTAGTAAGGAGCCCAACCCCAGAGCTGGTTCTGTTCAAGGCCAATGCAAGAGCTCATGACCACACTCGGGCTGCACATTGCAGAGAAACCCACTGACACTTCACTGCCAGTTTCATTGCAGTGATGCTTAAACAGCAGCTAAATCTCTGCATTTAAAAAACACACTAAATTCAGAGTTATGCTCAATTCTGTTAAGGTTTTGTTGTTGTTAATTGAAAAGTTGGGCAAAATACATAGGGGATCAAACAAAACTTGCAATTCAACTTAATAAATTGATTTAATTTTTGAGCTTTCTAAGATTTGTTCCATTTTTTTTTTTTTCATCAATATATTTAAATTCCAGTGGAAATATGACAAGTAAAGTGCACCTTTTATCCTGAAAATACCCAATAGTTTATTTTGGGTGACTGTTTAGGGTTTTTGTTGTTGTGGTGGTTTTTTTGTTTTGTTTTGGCGTGGGTTTTTTTAATCAACAAGGGAATTTAAAAGTATCTATATTCTAGAGTGGAAAAAACCCCATAAAATTTCATCTAACTTCTTTTAGAAGACTGCAGACACTTGCAGCTTAGGAAACTAAACTAATCACTTGAGACAGTCTTTATACATAGACACTGATTTAATTTATATACAAAAGCAGAAGATAAATGTATGTTTCCTGATGTCCTTGGCAAATTCTATTTTACAAATGAATAAATTAACAATTTTTAAAAAAAGAGAAAGAGAAAGAGAGAGAAACAAAAAGAAAATTCTGACATGTGACATTTTAATCATGTTTTAATCCCACTAATGAAATCTTTGAACTAACTGAAGTGGAAAATACCTCTGTTAATTGTATTGTGGTTCTAGTCAAGGCAATGTGGAAGCACTATTTAAAAGTGCTTTTCTTATTTTTAGTGCTTGAAGAGAATAATTTTTATGTCATTACTGCTGCCTATAAAATTGTTGTTTCTGGTTTTCCTCTGTAGTCTGGTAATATAAATATCTTATTTTTTTTAGCTAGAGACAGCCCTGGGAAAACTTTTCTAATGGGACATTGCAACCTGTGTATGTGTTGTGGTATGTCAGTATCTATTAGAAAATTTTATTTAATTTTCCTGCTGGAAAATCTTTCTGCTCAGAAATTATGAACATTAGAAAATATAGGGAAAAGGCACTTCAAATTGCATCAGGTACACTGTCAAAACATTAAAAAAATAAAATCTTAATTAATAGAATTAAAAACTCAAGATGGGTCAGATCTACAAATGGCTTCAACAGGTACTGAAGCAACATTCTTGAGGGAGGAAAAGATGAGATGCAGTAAAGACCCACCCAGAAATGGAAGACAGAGCTACTCCTAAAACTGTGTGCTGATTTAGTTCAGCTATATTAGGTAAGGAAAAAAAGAAGAAAGCCAAAAACTGAAGCCAGTAAGAATAATGGTAAAAACAGATTCAACCACAGGAATAGTCATGGAAACTAACAAAAAGCCTGTGAAATACTGGTCTACTCTTTGACCATTTCTCTTTGAACCCGTTTTTGCATTGGCTTTATCCATCTAGATAAAAAAATCTTCAGAGCAAAAAGAGTCTTGTAATCTGTACTAGGATGGAGACGAAAATAATGGAACTCTGATTTTACCTGGGAGTCTTCAGGTTCTACTGGAATACAAATAAATAAAAATATAATTTGTTAAATCCAAGCACAACTTTAAAGTGTGAAAAATCAGTAAAGTACATTTCTCCCTTGAATATGAAAAAGGGATTTATTTTCCAATGGCACTTGTGATAATCAGACGTTGAGAAAAACTGACCTAAAAATCTAAGCCTTTTGTACTAATAAGTTCCACACACACCACTACTGTCTGCTTCTTCCCATCTCCCTCATGTCTCTGATGATGAAATCATATTTTCTGATGTTGAAAAACAAAATTAGCATGCAGCCACCTCATTTATCCAGTGACCTTTTAAAAATTGAACTTATTGCACAAGGCAGGAGAAAAGTCATTCTCATAAAATACATCATAGAAGAGTGGCTGTCCAAACGTATTAGATAAAGCTGTGTATGCTGTATATTAAAATGCAATTTAGTGATAATATATACCATTCAGATTTTTTCTTTTATTATATAAAGCCATATGTATATCATATAGAATAAATATTCATTCTTGCTTAGGCTGCAATTACTGAGAATTCTTTCATTTCTAAAAGATGAAGATTGTATACTTCAAGGTGTTGAGTCTCGAGAGGTCATTGCTGTGGGAGCTGATGGTATTTAACATGCATTCACAATTAAGAGCGGGTCTGGTCCCACACTGGAAATCAGACACACTACCATCTATATTATAAGCAGCCAAGTCCAGTCAAGTCCAAGCCTGAGGCTCAGCTTTGTAACACATCATAATAAGAGAAAACCCAAGTATCCTTTGCCTTTTAATGTTGTTCCAAGATATCATCTTGCACACTGGATAGATTTGGTCAGGACAGGACTGAGCAGTGCACAGCCCAGTTCCTCACTAGCAATCTCCAGCTTGGCTCCTCCTAAACTAAGTGCTGACACTGGGAGTCCAGAACAAAAGGCAGCAGTGTGGATAGGAAACTTATAGGTGAGAAGACACTGGGTTTGACTTTTAAGGTTTTTTTTATCTAAATGGTTAAAGACAATACAAAATGCTTTGAAGAGAAATGGTCAAAGAGTAGACCAGTACTTCATAGTTCTTTTGCTAGTTTCCAGCAACGTTTGGTGTGGTTGAATCTGTTTTTACCATTACTCTTAGCGGCTGCAGTTTTTGGCTTTCTTCTCTTTTTCCTTAGCCAATATACTTGAACTAATTCTACTCTCAAGGTGTAGATATGGCCTCAGTTCTTCACTATATCAGCTCTTAATCTCAAAAGGTAAATCTCAT